AAAAAAAGATGATGAAAATCCCTTTAAAGAATTTAAAGGCATCTCAATTTTTGATTTTATTATAGACATTTTAAGGAAGCTAAAGCTGACCAGGCAAAACAAAAAGTAGAGATGGAATAGCAAGTTCAGTCAGCTCAACCAAAGAAAGAACAAGTTGTAAGGGAAGCAGATCAAGACAAGGGCAAAGCAATTGATACTACTCTTATTGCAAAAAAAATGCAAGAAAGGGTAGAAAAACAATGGCCACTAAAACCAAAGTTTTTAAAAGAAGAAAATTTGTTACAATAGCTGAATCCACCACCATGTTAGTTCTAAAATCTACATCACCTCAAGTTATCTCTTTTTGATATTCCTTATCTTTCGAACTTGAATCCTTTCATTCCATTTACGTTGAACCTTTTAATGATCATCTAGGGGCTAATGAATCCTCCATAAATAAGCCCTTTTTTAACTTTGATTAGATGAGTTTCAACTTTAGGCCCTTCTTTTGCATGATGATAAAAAAGGAGAGAAAAGTAGAAAGTAAAAAAATAGGAGTAGGAAGTAAGCTAGTAGGAAAGACAAACTCAGTCTTTAAACTATGTCTTTATTTGCTATGTCTTTATTTTGGTGTGTTTTCCGATACAATTGTGTTGAATAGTTGAACATTGGTTATACACACACACACACACATTCTCCCATGGTTGAATGCCTTTATTTTCCATGTCTTTATATTGGTTCATTTTATTAGGGCACATATTTAAGGGGAACACATATTTAAGGGGAACACATATTCAGGGGGAGCAATCCTCAAATCTTTATATAAATTCTTTTTAAATAGACATTGCACTCTTAATCTAAGAGTGTTTTGTCATCATAAAAAAAAGAGGGAGAATATCGACTATTTATATTTTTGATGATAATAAAACATTCATCATTCATTAATGTCTAACTTCATTATTTAAGTGCACATGATAAAGTTGATTCCCTCAATAAGATGAATGATTAAAGACTAGATTATATAATAGATAGGCTAATCAATTAAAGTAGGAAAAATGAAAAGAGTTAGTAAAGATAGGGCTTTTGTAACTAATTATCAAAATGCCTTAATCAATTAAATAATGGCTAGGCTACAAGTTGAAGCAAAATAAAAAAAAATGTTAATCAGTTAACACTAGGCTTTACTGATTAAGAAGATGTAAAACAAAGGAAAACAAAGGTGTACTAATTGGTTAAGCCATGGGATTAATCAGTTAGAGCACAAAACTTAAGGAATCTCCAAGCGCCAAAATTTAAATCCAAAGTGAAGTTGACCATTGAATAGAGCCAAAATGAAGAAGTGCAAATTAAAAGAATTTCTAATTGACTAGAGCTTGTATTAATTGGTTAAGGTTAAAGGAAATGAAGTTCCAATCAGCTAACGAAAGAGTTAATTAGTTATAAGAAGTCTGCAAAAGCAAAGAAGCCTGTAAACAGAGATCTTTTAATCAGTTAAAGTCTATTATAATTAATTAACACAGAGTACACGATTCCACTAGCGTTGTGGCCACGCTCTCCTCAGTGCCATGGCATTGGCCTCCTTGGCACATCAACCTTGAGCAACTTAAGGCCACGGCCTTCATTCCATGTGCTGCCTTGTGCAAAACTGCAGCAATCTAGCTTCTTCCAACGCAATTTTTATCTTAATCTGATCTAAAATGGGTTAAGTGGTAAACATGAAAATTATAGCTCTATCTCTTACCTTTCCAATGGATTTGAGAATTGTATCAATTGAGCTACTGTATCTGAAGTTATCTTTAAAATACTGCATTATGTATGAATGAAACCTTCGCCATACTTGTGCAGTTTTTCATTAAATAAGTTTTTCGCATCAAATTTCCTACAACAACAATAAGAGAAATCAACAATAACTATTCTTTCAAGAAATTTAAAAAAAATAACATAAAATTAAACAAAAATAACTCAAATCAAACTAATCAATATGTAATCAAAATTAAACAAGAAAAACATCTAAAATACTAAAATCCAAAACGTAAAATTTCAAAACCCTAACTACTTAAGCTCCCAAATGTGTCAAAATAACTCTATATAATAGAGTTATTATGTTCTTTAAATGGACCTAAAATCAATTTAGGATTTCATTGAATAGTATGAATCTAATAAGTGATCAATCGCATTTTATAAAAAAGATTGGTGGCAATTCTCAAAATTTTCATGTCAAGAACAGAGGCAGAGGGTAAAAGGGACTAGTAAAGACTCTCGTCCCCCTCTTTCCCCAAAATTTTAAAAATTTTAAAACATGTCTATTTTTTTTTGAAAATTTATAATTTTACCTTTACAACAATTTTAAAATTTTTATAATATACTTTTATTTTTTTTGAAAATTTATAATTTTGTCTCTACAATAATTTTATAACATGCCACAATTGAGCATTATTGCCAAGTTGACTTATTTTTTACTGCTATTGACTCACTTTTGTAAGAATTGGATATCAGATTTAATGAGAATATGATGGTGTTGCTCATTCTTGGCATATTTTTAGACCTTTAGAATAATTTCGAATCATTTGATGTTGAAAGTATTTATAACCTTATAAATAAATATTATCCTGATGATTTTATTGAGCATGATAAAATATGTTTAAGATATCAATTGAATCTATTCAAGCTTGACATTCTTCATAATCAGGCTTTAAAAAATGTATTCACACTTCTCGAGTTATGTCAAGTTTTGAAGAAGATGGGAATATTAAAAGTTGACTTCCTTATTGACAGATTGATTCAACTTATTTTGACTCTTTCAATTTCCACTACAACATCAAAGCATGCATTTTTTACTATGAAACTCGTTAAGAATGAGACGGATAATAGAATATTAGATGATTTTCTTAGAAATTCGTTGATCATTCTCATTGAAAAGGAAATCATTCAAAACTTTGACATTGATTCAGTAACTCTATGAAAGAGAGCTTAATTAAAAATACCCAATCATAGTATGCAATAGTTGTTAAAAAATATTTTTATTTTGTACTTAATACGTAATTGAAGTTATATGTGTAATTTTCAAAGGAATTTTTTCATATAAGTTACTTTATGTTTTTGTCCAATATTAAACTTGTAATATTACTATTTTATAGATATTGTCTTTACCTTCTAAAGGTAAAATCTTGACTCCACCATTGATCGAGACGATCGATTCATAGACCCGAACATAACAACAAATTCAACTTCCACTAACAACAGCAAACATAAATTTGAACTTTACTAAACTCATATTCCTAATTTGACCAAATGACAAATTTTAAGCTTCATTTTAGTAGCTTGTAGTTTAATTCGTGGTCTCGCCAATTTTGTTGCGATGTCACCATTTGTGGATGTTAATGAAGATGAAATCATTTGAAACATGGACGATTGTTCTTAAAATAATTTATATATAAATTTTAATTTTACATTATTATTTTATTACTTGAAATTTAATTGATTCATAATCATAAAATCAATGGGTTATTTTGGTTTAGTACTAAAAAATAAAAACAAACTAAATAATAAATCCTTACAAATTTGTTGGACTTAAATTGTTAAATTTTATATAATTAATTAACACTCAACTCAAGATTCACCATAATAAAATTTAAAACGAAGAATGTACTAAAGTTTTTATCCGTGATTTGACTAACCAGATTAATTATTAAAATTTGGGTAAATGTTTAGTGTACCCTAATATCTCCAAATCTGGGTAAATGTTACCTGGGTTATTTAATTTTTCTTTTTTTCTATTGTAATCATAAAATCTAAAGCTAAATTTTGATTTTGGTATTACGCAATAAAATGCATACTTTTCAAAAAAAAAAAACTGTTGGGATTCAGTGTACTAGTATTTTTCTCATTTTAATTTGAACACTCCTATGAATGAAATTCTTATAATTTAGATAAACAAATAAGGAGACCTAACCTTACTTTCATAAAGAAATCTCTAATCTCACCCATTATGAAATTTAGATTTTCCTCTACAAGTCTACACTAATAAACCCATATATAACATTGGAATCTAATTTACTTTGTTAGATCATATTATGTAATATAATGCTGTAAGATCCTTATATCTTTTGTAAGATGAATTTAAATTAGATTTTTCTTTTGGAAAAGTATATTTCATTGCTGAAACAAGGTATACACAACTGCATTAAGCAGCAAATCCCGAAAATTTGAGTTTAATTATTGAAGGGAATGGAACGTTAGGATGACGAGAATATCGGTGAAAAGAAAGATAATGTGTTCCAAGTTTTGGTTAAATGTTTCTTTCATTCCATTTTATTTGTTCCCTTTTTTGGGAATGTCGCAAAATATTTTTATTTTTTTAACACTTAATTCTCTTATTTTTTTTTATATTTCAAAATTTTTTCATGGCTTTTTTACTTTTGACATTAAAAATTATAAAATATAAATTCTATAAAAGATTTAAAGTAGTTTTTGTTATTATCACAATGAGATAATCAAAAATGTTTAAGGGAATTAGAATTTTATAGAATTGAAAATTTTTGCATTCAAGTATATAAGGCAATGCTAAGTGCACGTAATTTTACTCAAAAAAAAAAATTGCATCCCCTTCCCCAAATGAAAAAAAGAATCCCCTTGCTCTAATTTTCCTTCTTACCGTTACCTCCAAGTTTTTCCCCTTTTTATACTCCATTAATGTTGCACTTATGTAAATGTTCCCAACTCAAAAACATTAAATGCTACTTCTCCTATGTAAGTGATTATATTTTTTGAAAGTCAACTAATATATTTGTTTACAATTTAATTTCACAATGAGACACGAAGGTATATATGCATTTACTACTTCTTGTGTCATATACTACTTTTCATATTAACCATAATTTCGGATGTTTAAATATTTTTTTATTAAGAAAAGAGAATTTGAATTTTATTTTTTAAATAAAAATCATACATTAATGAGTCAAACATTTTATTCAATTTAATTTTATATATATATATGTAAACAAAATCCCAACAGTGTCAATAGTAAGCCCAAACCGCTCAAGTTCTCTGTTGTCCCAATGGCCAAACCACTCTCCCTCCCTTTGTACGAAAGAGTCTCTTGTAAAGGCATCATGATCAGGCGAACCTTGGATGTCACCGTCTTCTGCCTTTTACTCTCTCTCCTCGCTTATCGCCTCCATTCCCTCGGCAATCAAGGATTCACTTGGCTCCTCGCCTTTCTATGTGAGTCATGGTTTGCTTTTATATGGCTTCTCGAACTTAACACTAGATGGAATCCTGTTGAGTACAAAACATACCCTGAAAATCTCTTGCCACGGTAATACTTACGTAAAAGTTGTTTTTCTGACTGCCTGCCTTTAGTTTTGGGTTTAATTGGTCATAATTTCAAAGTATATTTTTTCTCAACAGGTTACTTGAGCTTCCCCCTGTAGATATGTTTGTAACGACCGCAGACCCCGTGCTTGAGCCGCCTTTGGTAACCATAAACACTGTTCTCTCTTTGTTGGCGGTGGATTATCCAGCTGAAAAGCTAGCTTGCTATGTATCAGACGATGGTTGCTCCCCTCTCACCTTCTACTCTCTTGTTGAAGCATCAAAGTTTGCTAAGCTTTGGGTTCCGTTTTGTAAGAAGTATAGCATTCAGGTCAGAGCCCCCTTTCTATACTTCTCCGCCAAGTCCCTGCCTCCTGTTGATGGCTTATCATGTTTCGAACTGGAATGGAAAAAGATGAAGGTAAACTAATTAATTAAAGTAGCAATAGGATGAATGGTTGATCTGTTTCCATTTTTTTTTTCATTATCTTCAACTTTGACCAACTTTATCTATACAGTTTAAAAAACAAAATAGAGGTAAATGGAAAGAGGAGTTTGTGGCAGATAGCTGCAACTAGCGTACAAAGGTCAATTTGTCTTTACCCAAACTCCTTTCTTTGTTTCAAGGATGAGTACGAGCATCTTTGTCGAAAGATAGAAGATGCTGTCCATAAGTCGATGCTTGGTCCCCATTCCACTGAATATGCGGTCTTCAAGAACGTAGAGCGTGACAATCATCCAAGTATTGTCAAGGTAGAAATTTATTCCTTATCCCCCACCACCCAAAAAAAAAAAAGAAAAGACAAGAAAAGAAATTTATTCACTTTTTACAGTCTAATAGTGTTTTGTGTTCTTTTAGATATTTATCACCTAATAATATTTTTGCTACAGGTTATATTCGAAAACAAGGAAGATCATTCAAGTATTTTGCCTCATCTAGTTTACGTATCCAGAGAGAAACGTCCAAATCATCCACATCATTCCAAAGCCGGTGCCATGAATGTTTTGGTTTGTTATTAATTACATAAATCTGTATTACCAATTAATCTTCCGGTAATAAAATTCAATAACTCTCCTTTGATTTGACAATTAAGCAGACCAGAGTCTCAGGAGTGATGACCAATGCGCCCTTTATGTTGAATGTGGACTGCGACATGTTTGCCAGCAATCCAAAGGTCATTCTCCAGGGAGTTTGCTTACTAGTCGGCGTCGACGATGAACAAGAGTGTGCCTTTGTTCAATGTCCTCAGATATTCTACAATGCTTTGAAAGACGATCCTTTTGGAAACCAATTTACTGTTCCTTTCGCTGTGAGTACCAATTCTGATCAATTTTATAAATTTCGTCACCCGCATGGTCCATATAAAACGCTGATAAGAATTCCTGTGTCAAAAGAATTTTAGGACGTTCTTTTTAACATGGAAATAAGACTTCATTGCATATGAAGCTTTAGCTTCTGTCCATGGTAACGAGGATTGGATATTAAGAACTCTTTTAAGTCTGTAGTTCTAATCCCACTGCACGTGTGGAGCGATAATCCAATCTTATATTAGTTCTATTTTTTTTTAATTTAGTTATTTGGTTATTTTTTGAATTTTTTACTCAATTCAATATGTCATTCATTGATAATAGTCTAACTTTATATTAATTATGTTTAATTGATTTATTATAAAATTATAGATATGTGTATGCGATTATACAAAATTACAACGTACTGTAACAAATTTCATTACTATTTACTTAATTTATACTCAAAATTAAGGCTGTTGCTTAATGTAGATTTTCGCAGGCGGGATGGCTGGGATACAAGGGCCTCCCTATGCTGGAACTGGATGTTTCCACAGACGTAAAGCTATATACGGATTACCCCCAAATCATGATTTTGATATCCGAGGTAAGTAAATATTTTTAGACCTATAAAAGTTTGTAATTTTTTTTTTTTGTGAATAGAGGATTCTCCCTTCAAACAGCAACACAAAAGGTGATTTTGAGCCATATACCCATCTCAGAGTTGGGCATACTCACTCAAAATCCACCATGGACCATCAAAAGGGGTCATTTACAAAATATATCAGATTGCACAAAACTACTACTACTTTATACACCCGCACATCATTAACATACCAAATCATCAGGACACTCTGCAGCAGAAAAAACGTCCCAGCAGTGTCGCAGCAAAAAAATACACTGTCCTGCATACCAGGGCAGCTCAAAACAAAACCCCGTGGAGTTCCCCGCTTGAGAACCCCCTCTGAGCTAATCTCCTTTCATCTGCTTTGAGACAAAAAGCTGTCAGAATACTAAGGAAACCCATCCCGAGTTGTGAATTGCCTTGGAGAAAAACCATCCAACACAACCTCAGTCTTTCCCAAGAGCGAAACCTCCCCCTTATATATCTTGCCCAATAACAGTTTATTTCCCCATCCTCCAGGCAGCTAAGTCCTTCCCAAGTCTGTGTTATCCCCTTGCGTACGCACAACCAGTGAAAACTCACCCCCACGGAATTTACTGTGACCATGTGACGATGTGGACATGGTCTCGTGGCAAAATAGCTGCCCTGGATGACGATATCAAACGTCATGTGAGAAGTTCGTTATCCTCTAACAATTGAACAATGAAAAAATGACATTTGACCAAAGTATTCCTTTTTAACATTGAATGACAAAAACAGAAAATTAAAAATGTTAAATGACAAAAGAAAGTAATTTTATTTTTTCAAATTAAAGAGAAATACTGACATATCACTTTTTGTTTTTTGGATAAGCACAGATTGCAAAATATTGGAAGAAAGATTTGGAAAATCCACCGAGTTCAGTGAATCAGTGGCTGAAATCCTGTTTGGGTCAGGAGAAAAACATTTTCCATGTGATATTTCAAGCAGCACCGAGTCAGCATGCAGAGTTGCAAATTGTAGCTACGAGAATAATACTTACTGGGGAACAGAGGTATTTCACGCCATGGAAAATTGCTTCTTTTCCTTTTTCATAAATGTTTTTCATTGCTTGGCAAGCTTACTAAAACGCAACAGAAACAACAGTTAACAATTAATATGTGCACTTGAACTAATTTGTTTTTAATATTACATTCATTAAACATGAAACAAATATGTTTTGAAAATGTGAACTGTTGCATAAATTGGGACTGAAAGAGTAATTTATTAAAAGAAAATTACATAGTTGAAGATAAATAGAAACTCACTGTATCTCAATATGGCTAATTTCAGGTGGGATTGACTTATGGATCTGTAACAGAAGATGTTCTAACAGGATTAAGGATCCATACAATGGGTTGGAAATCTGTTTTGCTGATGCCCAGTCCACCGGCATTTATGGGCTGCGCACCTCCAGGTGGACCAGTCTCAATGACACAAATGAAGAGATGGGGAACAGGCCTGCTTGAGGTTCTCTTCAGCAAATATTCTCCCGTTCTTTCAGCCTTCAGCACTAAGCTCTATTTTAGGCAGGCTTTATGCTATCTGCAATTTGTTATTTGGGCTTCAAGCTCCATTCCTCAGTTCTGTTATACCATCCTATCCGCCTACTGCATCACCACCAACTCTCATTTCTTGCCTAAGGTACGCGAGTAACATAATCCATTAACTAAGGCTCCTTTTGTTCATGTTTTTATTCTGGTAAATGTCACCCGGGTGCTTAAGTTTTGGATATAATTCAGAGGAAATCCCTTAGTTTTGGAATTGAACAATTCATCTCAAAACTACAAAGGACTAGTAACAGAAATTAGGTAATTACTAATTTACCAACAACCTAAACAGCAAAACCCTCAACAATCAGGGTCTTTGAGGCCAGATTGCACGATTCTATTTTATTCTTCATCATCCATAAACTAAGCCTCCGTGCATGACTTCAATTGTGTTGGGTTTTTTCTCGTTTCCAGATTTTTTTGATCATTGTAAACAACACCTTTGATTGTTTTATCACCTTTATTAATTAATGCAAGTGCAATTTGAAGGGAAAAGCCTAGGAAAAGTGGCAAAATGTTTAATATCATTGATCTGTGATGTTATCTTTCCAAGCATAATATTTGATATTCTTGATCCATTGTGTTGTTTGTTTGATATTTTTTTTATGTAATTTTAGACAAAACACTTGATTTCCTTGATCTGTGGTGTTGTCTTTCTAGGCATAATACTTGACATCTTCGATCAGTTGTGTTGCATGCTTTATATAATTGATATGTGATTCCAAGCACAATGCTTGATATCCTTAATTTGTTGTGTTGTCTGCTTGATATCCTTGATTTATGGTTCTAAGCAGAATGCTTGAAATCCTTGATCTGTTTTGTTATCTGCTTTATATCCTTGTCCCTGATCCTTGATCTATTGTGTTGTTTGTGATTCAAGATATAATGCTTGATATCCTAAATTTACGATATTGTCTTTTCAAGCATAATATTCATTATCTTGTGTTGTCTACTTGATATATTAAATTTGTGTTTCCAAGCATAATCTTCGATATCTTGTGTTGTTTCCTTGATATCTTAAATTTGTGGTTTCAAGTATAATGCTCAATAATATATTTGTGGCGTGGTTTTTCTAACTTGATATTGATGTATTTTCAAAATGAAAGATTGTCCTTTCACATAAAAAGTTTTCTTTTCATCTTGTGTCTTATGAATGAATGATTGTAATTTCAAAAAGTAATTATTGAAACATCCTTTTATCCAAACGTTGTGTCTTAATGCAAAATTTTCTTTTAAACAAAAAGGTGCCTTGATGAAGAATTATATTCTTGAAGAAAGAGTTATATCCTTGAAAAAAATATACTTGCAAGTCTATATAAAGGACTTACTATTAATCATTTTGACACATCAAAATAAAAACAAAAACAAAACAAAAGAAGAAAATCAAGAGTAAGAAAAGTGTTGTGTTTTAAAAATTAACATAAACACTTAAGTTCCCATCAACTATAAAAAGCATCTAAATTCTTTATAATCTACTTGCTGTAGAAAGTAGGTTTTAAAGCCAAGCAACTTTGCAAACCCTAGGTGTATCTAGCAATCTACTTTCATAAAGTACAAGACAAAGTTAAACGTTAGCTTCATTGCATCCCCAAGGCTATTCGCATTATTTCTTTTTGCATTTCGAGTGATAAGGGTGAAATAAGTCTTAAAGATAGCATCTGTTGAAAAAGCTCGCCTTGAAGTTTATTTTGCTGGTTCTTTGAATTCCATCTAAAGCCCATTTACACCAACAATTTTAAGATTTATTTTTTGTGTAATTGGAATTCAAAATGGCTTCACTTAAAGTATGGCTACCAACATTGTCAAATTAGACCACTTTGAAGGAGGAAATTTTATTCAATGGCAGAAAAAGATGCATCTCCTCTTTACATCTCTTAAGGGCACTTATGTTCTAGATACACCAAAGTCGGATGAAAAAGGTGATGAAGAATCTGTGAATCAAACTCGTTTGAGGCAAAAATGGGATAATGATGACTACATATGCATAGGACACATTCTTAATGGAATGTTGGATGCATTGTTCGATCATACCAGAATGAAGCTAGTGCAAAACAACTTTAGGACAAATTGGAAACAAGATACATGGCTGAAGAAGCAAGTAGCAAGAAATTTTAGGTTTCAATAACAACAAAATGGTTGATAATCATTTTGTTATGGAGTAATTACATGAGCTTGAACACATTCTAAATAGATTTAAGCAATATAATCCTAAAATGGATAAAGCTATTATGGTATCTTCTATAATTGATAACCTTCTTCCTTCATAGAGAGATACTAAGAAAAGTATATAACATAAAAAATAAGAAATGTCTCTCGAAGACCTTAGTAATCATCTTTGAATAGAAAAAGATTATCACAAACAAAAAGAAGTCAAGCAAGATGAAAAACAAAAGGGTTTTAATAAAAGAATCTTGAGACTTCGAAAGTCCATGTGATGGAATACAAACTATTAAACAAGTCGATCTTGTACAATAAAAGAAAACATTCTATTGGTATAAATGACAAAAGTCATAAGATCAAAAAGAACAAAAAGGGACCATGTTTCAATTGTAGCAAACTTAGACACGTTAAGGCAGAACGTAAACTTTTGAAAAACAAGACACAAGGCATGAACAACAAGAAGTTTGTGGCTTTAGTTTTTGAGATCAATCTTCTCCATGATGATGGAGCATGGTGGATTGATACTGGTGCAATTAAGCATGTATGTAAAGACAAAAGTTTCTTTAAGACCTTGGAAGCAATTAATGAAGGAATCGTGCTATGCATGGAAAATTCCTCCATTACACAAGTGAAAAGAAAAAGTACTGCAGAACTCATGTTTACTTCTGAAAAAATGCTTGTACTAGACAATGTTTATTATGTAGTAGAAGTTAGAAAGAATCTTATGCCGGGTGGTTTATTGAGTCAGTACGACTTCAAATTAGTATTTGAGATAGCTAAGTTCATCCTTACAAAAGTGCACAATATGTGGAAAGTGGATTTTTGTGAAAACATGTTTAAGCTTAATATCAATAAGAATATTACTAATTCTACTTATATTGATGCCTTATTTAATGTTTATGATAGTAAAACAGCTTTGTCTAAATTATAGCATAATAGATTAGGTCATGTTCATTATAAAAGAATGCATGATGTGACTAAATTAGAATTAATATCAAATATTGATGTAAATAATGATACATGCAAGACATGCATGGTTACTAAAATCACAAGAAGTTCATTTCCTTAGGTAAAAAGAAATTCTAAATTGCTTGCATTAATACATTTTGATGTTTGTGACATGCATAATACTTCATCTATTGGTGGAAAGAAATATTTTATAACATTTATAGATGACTTCTCTATATATTATTATGTTTACTTATTGCATGCTAAAGGTGAAGTAATGGAGAAATTTAGAATCTATAAAAATGAAATTGAATTGCATTCTGAATTGCTTATCAAATATTTATGAAGTGATAGAGGAAATGAATATTATGATCCCAAGCGTTTCGAGTTCACTAGTATTATTCATGAGATTACCACTCCATACGCACTAGAACAAAATGGTGTAGTGGAATGTAAAAATCAAGTTCTTACAAAAATAGTCAATGCTTTACTTTCTAATTCAAATTTAGAAAAGGATTTTAAGGCAAAGCCTTGTTAATGACTTGCCATATACTAAATATAATCCCAAACAAAAGGAGTAAAACTACTCCTTATGAGCTATTGAAAGGAAGAAAGTCAAACCTTAATTATTTAAGAGTTTATGGATGTCAAGCCATAATAAGAGTTTCATAACCAAAGAAAAGGAAATTAGGTGAAAAAGAAATTGAATGTATATTTATAGGATATATTGAACATAGTAAAGCATATTGTTTCATGGTGATAGAGCCCAATTATTCATATTTCATAAATATAGTTATAGAATCAAGGGACGCTATTTTGATGAAATAAGGTTTAATTCAATTCCAAGACCTGAAGACCTAGTAACGAAAAGTGATAAACCTTTAAAAGATGGTAAGAAAGCTACTAAGCTTCAAAAAAGTAAAATTATTAGAAAATCAAAGAGATATGGATATAATTTCTTTATGTACTTACTAAAGGGTACAAAAGAAAAAACATGCGAATACTTACCTTACTGCTTTAATGTAGAAGATGAAGGAGATCTTTTAACCTATGAAGAGGCAATGAGGTCTCGAGATGCTTCATTTGGGAGAAAAGCAATACAAGATGAGATGGACTTGATAATGGGAAATAAAACTTGAAAATTGCTAAACCTTCCATTAGGTTCCAAGCCATTAAGCTGTAAATGGATTTTCAAAAGGAAAATGAAAGTTAATGGAATCATAGAAAAGTTTAAAGTGAGGCTAGTGGTCAAGGGCTTTAAACAAAAGGAAGGTGTTGATTATTTTGATACATGTGTACCGGTAGCAAAAATAACCACTATTAAAGTGTTTATAGTACTTGCATCTATACATAATATTGTAATTCACCAAATGAATGTTAAAATGACATTTCCAAATGGTGAATTAGATGAAGTGGTGTATATGGAACAACTTGAAGGGTTTGTTTTTTCTAGTCATGAAAGAAAAGTGTGTAAGCTTGTAAAGTCCTTGTATGGATTAAAACAAGTACTTAAACAATGGCATCAAAAGTTTAACAAAGTTGTACTAGCTAATGGCTACAAAATTAATCAATTTGACAAATGTGTCTTTAGTAAGTTCCATTATGCTATAGGTGTCATCATTTGTCTATATGTGGATGATATACTAATTTTTTTGTACTGATTTAGAACAAGTGAAGGACATAAAAAAGTTATTGTTAAAGAATTTTGACATGAAAGATATGGGTGTGGTAGATATTATTCTAAGTATAAGAATAATAAGAGACAATAATAGCTTAACACTGTCTCAATCTCGGTACATTAATAAGATTGTCGTGAAGTATGGTAAGTTAGATTGTATGTTAACGTCTACGGCTTATGACTCTAATCTAAAGCTAGTACCCAATAAAGATAAATCAATAGCATAAAATGAATATGTAAGGGAAATTAGATACCTAATGTATGCTATGTGTTTACAAGGCCGGGCATTGCTTTTGTAGTTAGGATGCTAAGCTAGTTTACAAGTAATCCAAGTAGAAAACATTAGTACGTTGTTCGTAGAGTTATTAAGAACTTAAAAAGTACAATGAATTATAGCATTTGTCATTAAGGTTTTCCTTCGATTTTATAAAGGTATACAGATGCTAGTTGGAACTCAAATAGAACAAATCATATTTCTATAACTAGTTGGTTTTTTACAATTGGTGGAAGTGTTATTTCTTAAGGTTTTAAGAAAAAATCTTGTTAATTAGAGTCAACCATGATAGTTGAATTTATAACTTTAGCATTTGCCACCCAAGAAGCAGAATGGTTATGAGATTTACTCTATGACATTTAGTTGTTACCTAAACTAATGGCATCGATCTTGATGCATTGTGACAATGAAGCAACTATATCAAAGGCATATAATCAAGCATACAATGGAAAGAGTCGATATATTGGACTTCAACATAGCATTGTAAGATAAAAAAATTAGTGATGGTATAGTCATTATAAGTTATGTGAGTTCTTGTGCAAACTTAAAGGATTCATTTACTAGATATCTGAAAAAAGATTTGATGATAAATACCTTAAGAAGGACAAATCTCAAGCCTATCAACTAAATCTCCAATAGTAAGAGCTCACCTCGACTCTTATGGTCGACCTGCAAGTTTTGGTTATTGACCATTCTACCATATGGTGATTGTAAAAACAAATTTATATTTTCTATCCCAATATGTATAGTACTTGGTTCCTATAATGTGTAATGTAAGGTTGAACAAAAGTCCTTAATAGACCCATAACGTGTATATGTTGAAGTATTATAGTTACGGGATAGTTTCAGTGGGGGTTACTTATGTGACTGGAAGTATGGCCATTTCTCGGAGTTGAAGGCTTGACTCTCACAAGCATTCATGAATGGATGCAAAACATAAGATCAAAAAACTTGTTGGCAAAACTAGATATAGAGTGAGCAAGGAAGCTTGTGTGTGTTTAGTGGCCAGACTAGTCAAATAAAGAATCAATGGTTCAATAATTGGTCAACTACTCAATTCAAACTAAAACCAACCACACTCACTAAGTGAAAGTTTAAATCTACGAGATACCTTTTTTTATGCACAAGATTCTCAAAGTTGTTAGTATTTAGAAATTTACAAATGGTGAAGGATTGCTGATGATTTTCAAAATGAAAGATTGTCCTTTCAAATGAAAAGTTATCTTTTCATCTTATATCTTATCGATGAATTGTTGTAATTTTAAAAGGTAATTATTGAAATATCTTTTTATCCAAAAGTTGTGTCTTAATGCAAATATGTCTTTTAAATAAGCAAATGCTTTAATGAAAGGGTTATATCCTTGAAGAAAAGATATGTGTAAGTCTAAATAAAAGACTTGCTAACAACCATTTTGACATATCAAAACAAAAATAAAACAAGAGTAGAAAAATCAAAAGCAAGTGAAGTGTTGAGTTTTGAAAATTAACATAAACACTTTAACTCCCATCAACTACAAAAACCATCCAAATTCCTTATAATCTACTTGCTGTAGAAAGTAGGCTCTGAGGTAGAACAATTTTACAAACCTTCAAGTGTATCTAACGGTCCACTCTCGTAAAGTGTAAGATAAAGTTAGATGTTACTTTCATTGTATCTCTAAGGCTATTCATATTATTCCTTTTTGCATATCGAGTGATGGGAGCGAAATAAGTCTTGAAAATAACATCTATTGAAAAGGTTCGCCTTGAAGTCAATTTTGTCAATTCTTTGAATTCTATCAAAAACCCATTTGCACCAACACTTGATATCCTTGATTGTGTTGTTGCTTGATATTTTTGATCAGTGGTTCCAAGTATTTAAATGTTATTTTCTTATGTGCGTTTAGTTTGTGTTGTTGTTGATGCTTATTATTACTTTGCATGATTGTACATATTTATTTAACACTGATGCTTGTTATTCTTTATTTGTATTTTCTTTATATCAATATTTTGATTCCTTTGTCATTCTAGTGTACATTCAATTTAAGCCTCTTTATAAGAGAAACAAAGATAGAAGTTGTATGCTATGGTGTCAATTTTTTTTTCTTTTCTGGTGTCAAAAACAAAAATATATACCTGAAAATCTCATCACCTAAGTAGAACCTCACCTTTTCACCTCTTATTTTCTTAAATTTCAACTAAATAGAATAGAAGTAAGCATATAACTAAACAACTTTTGAAAAAGGTTGAAGATTAAATCAAATTTCTTAAGAAATTTGATGGGAGGATCTTTTCTTTTACTTGCAATTTTGATTTGGTTTTATAAACATAAACAAGCTCTTTTTTTTTCTTAACAAATGAAGGTTATTATGGATATTATGTTATATCCACTTGATTACACATTATTTATAACAACCTCTACTTTGATTGTAGTTTAACAACAAAAGTTATTAGGCTTGTCCATTTGATTTTTTTGAATAGGGTTGTCCAATTTTTAAATTAGTGGATTCAATCTTAATTATATCCAAAACTTTAGAATTTGAGTGGAATTTACTATTTTGCTTGTTACTTTTTGTTATTTGTTTTAATTAGTTTTTAGTTTTTATTTTTTCCTTTCTATTCATTTTTTGCAAAAAAAAAAAGTAAAGGTATTAGAGCCTTGAGTTAGAATGAACATGGTGGAGATAGAAATGGTATTTACCAAATCCACCTAATTAAATAACTACGATTTATAATTTTTGTATACTTTCATAATCATACTACTTTTAATAGTAGTTTTTTTTTCTCCTTCTTTTTTTTTTGTTGCATATAAGAAAGTCAATACTAATATATAAATTTCCTCACTGAATTAAGCAACAAATTATTTTTCTTACTTATAAGCTAAGTTTTCTATTGTAATAATTAAGATCTGTTTATGTTCGCGTCCATGCAGGTGCAAGAACCATTTTTTTATATTCCTGTTTCCTTTAGCCTGATTTCCAACCTACACTCATTATCTCAGTATCTTCAGTATGGTGAATCAATTCAAGCATGGTGGAATAAGCAAAGAATGGAAAGAATACATGCAGTTTCTTCCATGTTATTTGCATGTTTAGGTATGTTTGTCAAACTTTTAGGATTTAGTGAAACAGTCTTCGAAATAACACCGAAAACCCAATCTGTTTCTAATGATGAAAATGATGCTGAGAAAGAAGGAAGGTTTAGCTTCGATGAATCCCCAATTTTTGTACCTATCATAGCTTTGTTGCTAGTGCACTTGATAGCACTGGCTATATGGCTACTAAGGTTGCAACCATTGGCTCGTGGTGGAGATGGATCAGGGCTAGGAGAGATCGCATGTAGTGTGTGGGTGGTGCTGAACTTCTGGCCATTGGTGAGGGGGTTATTTGGCAAAGGGAAATATGGAATTCCAATGTCCACATTATGCAAGTCAGCTACCTTGGCATTGTTTTTTGCACAATTATCTAAAAAGACCTCTATGTATTGAAATTAATTGTCAACATGAGCTGTAATTGTTAATTCTAGGAACATCTTAAGGAGAATATTTTCTTATTTTCTTTTAACTTTACTTGTACTCTAAGGAAGTCTTAGCTTAGAATACTTTCTTATTTGCTATTTACTCTACTTGCACACCAAGTAGGTTTAGGTCTAGTTGGTTATTATAAATAACCTCCTATGTAGTTCTTTATTTTATCATCAAGCAATTTAGTTATATGCTTAGATCTTGAATATTTTCTATATGGTATCAGGACAGTTCTAATTTGAAAAGAACTCTTTAACACAAATCTCGTATTCTAAAGCCTGTACTTGAAAAATCACCATCATAATTTTTTTTTTGTTCATCTGAAACTACATGGTAGAAACCAATTCCATTGTTCTAACCTTATCAAGTAATTTCATTGTTCCAACCATGCCAAGCAACCCAACACTAATTATTATCCACTAAGACAATTTTGTTTTTCCTACTAGTATCACACTAGATGCGATAAATTACTCATTATGGTCTTAAGTCACAGGGATGCGTATTGGCACTCACAACAAAGCTGGATATCTCACCAGAAAAGCAAAAAAATCTACACCCAGAGATCCTAATCTTGGAACATAGATTACAGAAGATCACAAAGTGAAAAAGTTAGCTTATTGACTCAATGAGTCCATCGCTAATGCAGCGATTTATTCATATTCCCACAGCCAAGGACATATAAAAAGCAATATCAAAAACCTTTTATGGTGGATCAGGCAAGACCTATATTTTTTAATTGAATTAGAGATCTTTCTCTACCCAACAAAATGGTCAACCATTATCAACATACTATAATGAACTTGTGGTTATTTTTTAGGATATTGATCACACGACTATCTTGCAAGAAGAAACAGCAGAAGGTGTAATCCAATTGCATTCTACAATGGCTAGGATTTGAGTTCATATTTTTCTAAGTAAATTTGATTATGAACTTGACCAAGTTTGTGTAGAAATCTTACAAAAATATCCAAAACTTGATTTGGAAAACTCGTATGCACATGTTAGGAAAGAATATCAACAAAGAAAACAATGGGAGACTCTCGTCTAAATCTTGAAAACATGGCTATGTTGGCCAACTGAACTCCATTTTAACTTTTACACAGATTTTCAAAAAAAAAATTAATATATCAATTCACCACCCTCTTGATATATTGCATATTGAGACTTTTACGCTAACACAACTTAAATATTTCATAGGGATTGAGGTTGCAAGATCGAAACAGGGGATTTTCCTTTGGCAATAGAAATATGTGTTAGATCTTTTAACCAAAACTGGAATGCTTGGTTGCAAACTAGTAGACACACCCATAGAGATGAATCATAAGCTTCGAATTTTTCCAAATCAAGTCTCAATAGATAAGGGTTTTTATCAATAGTTGATTGGGAGATTAATTTATTTGTCATACACAAGATCAAATATAGCTTATGTTATAAATGTCGTAAATCAGTTTATGCATGCACCAAGTGAAGAACATCCGAATGCAGTATATCGAATCTTAAGATACTTTAAGAGTCCTTCAAGCTAAGGTTTGTTGTTCTCAAAAATTAGAATCTTTGAGATTGAAGAATTTATAAATTCTGACCGAGCAGATGATCAAACATTCAAAAGATCCACATTTGGTTATATTACTTTCGCAGAAGGTAATATTGTCTCTTGGAAAAATAAAAAAGAGAATGTTGTGGCAAGATCAAGTGCAGAAGCTGAATTTTGAGGTGTGGCTCTTGGAGTATGTGAATTATTATGGATTAAGAGTGTTATCGAAAAGTTGAGAAATGAATATGCAAAACCTATAAGTCTTTATTGAGATAATAAGGTAACCATTGAAATTGTACAAAATCTTATACAACATGACCGCACCAAACATGTTGAAGTTGATCAACATTTCATCAAGGAGAACCTCAACCAAAAACTTATACAATTTCCATTTATCCAATGTGAAAGTCAGTTGGCTAATATTCTCATGAAAACAATTTCAGAGAAAATGTTCCTTGGTATAATTGACAAGTTGGGCATGATTGATATTTATGCTCCAACTTGAGGGTGAGCGTCAGCATAAATTGTAATTATTAGTTCTAGGAATATTTCAAGGAGAATATTTTTCTATTTTCTATTTACTTTTCTTGTGCTTCAAGGAAGTCTAGGGTTAGAATACTTCTTTATTTGCTATTTACTTTACTTACATATCAAGTACGTTTTGGTCTAGTTGGTTATTATAAATAGCCCCTATGTAGTTTTTTATTTTATCATCAAGCAATTTAATTCTTTGTTTAAATCTTGAATATTTTCTAGACTATTTCTCTTTTGTTTGAAAATATATATTTATAATTTTTTTTCTTTTGGATAATTTGTAAATACTTTTAATTGACTTAGAGATGCAATATGTTATTTCAATATTATTTTCCTACCTGATTATGAGGTTGTTTTATAACTTCATGAAATGTGATTAAAGACAAATTAGAGAGAAAGAGAGACTATTTTGCCATGTATGTAAGTCAATAAATATAAATTTTTCTATATTACATATAAAGTGATTTAACGCTTGATCACCATCACGTATCCTGATGATAAGATCACTAATGATCTTAAATTATTACATTTGGTGTTATATTAGATTATCACTTTCAACATCGTCTTGTTTTTTTACTAGAAAAAAAAGTTTTATTAAAAATTATAAAATGATACATAATTATAATCTTCACCAAAGATCAAAAAACATATCTACACACAAACATCAAAGACAAAGATTGAAACAACGTCACAAACATAAAAGATCACCCAAATCTAAAGTTCATGTAAGTATTAAGTAAAACTTTGAAAAGTTCTATATGTTCAAGAAATCAATAGTAGTTGATTAAATAGTTTTATAAAATTAAATATCATAAAGAATTTGAGAAAATAAAGAGAGTCAAGTAAAGGTAAATGGAAAAATTAATGTAAAATGTAATGTAATAAAATTCAAAATTTAAGCCAATATAAAAATTCAATGGGGTATAATCAGAATTTATGAAAAGAATGGTTGCCTTAAGCCCATAGACGAACCCATTTTGGAAGGAATGGTGTCACATGGCACCACGCATTTCCTAAAATGTTTTAATTTTTATATTATTTATTTAGGGTAGTTAATATACTGATGAATCTTTTTTTTTTTGTATTATAATTTAAGATTCTATTAAAAAAGTCAGAACTTAAACTACTCTTTCTGTCTAAAAATTCAAGTCTTTCCCTTTCACAGCCCTTAGCTGTGGGTTTTACTCTCAAAACAACTTATATAGACTTCAATTGTAAGTAATTTTCAACCAAAATTAAGTTTTTAAATACATTATGTCTAAATATTTTTTGATTAATTTGATAATTTGGGTTCATAATAAGAATCTAGTTAATAGAAAATAGTATTGCATGTCAAATAATATTTTGAAATAACGAGTCTTTCTTTTTTTGATTTATTTTGTAGATATATTATTTGATTATTTGAATTTTGTATTTAACTTTATGTGGTTCGTGGATGCTTAGATTTAATTTTGATTAATGAATAAAAAATTATCACGTTGTTAGTTATTAAACTTAATAATTTACTATGTAAGATCATATTTTATTTAATTTTAATATTTTAATTTACGTTAATGAGTACTAATTTTTAACAAGTTTTGTAGTTTTAGATAAATAAGTCATGGAAAAATATTTTAAAAGAAAAAAGTTGTCTCACAAGACTCAAATCTCGGACAATAACAAAATTCTACTAACGATTATACTTAACAATATTCTTCTAAGAAAAATTGTGTTGAATTTGATCTAAGTACTCTTTTAGTAGATCTTGAATTGAAGAAAAATTTTTTTAAATATCATCTTAACGACACCACTCAGAAAAATTCTTAAATCTACCCCTACTTAAACCTATGCAAAGGAAAGTTATAAAAGGGTGCAATAGTTAGGAATTGTTATTATAACTGCACAAGGGCATCTCTCCTTCGGATTTGATGGTTACCTGATTTTTATGTTGGATTAATAATGATTTCAATGTATTGAAAAAAGTTATTTAAATAATAGTGTAAAAGTTATGAACAAAAAAAATATAATTTTGATATTATATATTAGGTGCTAGACAACGACTATAGCTTTTAGGGATTTTGCTTATCTAATTGCAATTAAGGGAAATTAGGATGAAGGTTTTTGTCTTTCCATATTCATTTTTAGGTTGTCAAGGATGAGCAGGAATTAACCTAGGCTCTTGATTTTCCTTTCTCCAATTCGTAAATATATTTATTTGACACAGTGTTTGCCTTTCGCTTGTGAATGCAAATTAGCAGAGGGTGAGGCCAAATAGAGAACTGATTCCTTGTGGTTATTTTTTAGGGCTAATCAATTAGTCGATTTTTATCCTTGTGTTTTTATTTATTTTGGTAAGTCAAAGAGATTTTGTTGAGATTCCTAATTAAGTCAATGTTGCAAGGATTACCAGTGATCCAGGTCCTTTGACGAGAAGTTAATGCAAGTCCTCTCTATTCTCCCTTAGCGCTTGAAAGGAGGTATTATACACTGGACCGTCGTCAGAGATCGTTGGTGATCAATATAACAAGACTGCGGCTAACTGTTTCCTTTGAGCAAATGCTTCATGACGATCCATCCACCATTGTTTTCGTGCTTGACTCTTTTGCAAATTAAGCTTAATTTGGATGATCAGTTGCGAGAACAAATATACACTTTTGTTTTTTTTTAGATTTCTGCTCTCTATGGTTAAAATTCAATTCTAGCAAAAAACAATATGATGCATGCAGAATTTTAGACTCAAAATTATATGCATGCCAGAGGTGGAAATAAAGGCGTTCATATGACGGAATTAAACATAGTTTTAAGGTTCGAATCTAACCAATTATTAAGGTGGTCATTTCATTAATAAGATTAAAAATATACGTGAAACTATATATTAAAAATTACCTCAAAATTTTCTTTTTCTCTCTCTCTCCAACTCCCTCAGCAATTTCTTTTCTTGTTCTCCTCTTTGGATCTCTCTCCAATTCCATCATCATAATCTAATGTTTAATTTTAAGTCTCTAAAGATTTCTAGTTTTAGGAGGTAGGAATATTTGGTGAATTAATAGAGTATAGAAATAATTCATTGTTAGTATATCAAATATAAATCCATAAAATATATAGTGTATACAATATGAGTTGATTGCTATTTTCTCTTTATATAGCTTGAGACAAGTAAAAAAGAAAATGCTTATTGACTTTAGGCATAATATCTAAAAAAAAATAAAATTATTTAAAAAAATTTAAATAAGCTTTTATGCTTTTATTAAACATTTATATATTTAATTTGAGTCAAATAACCTCATTATATTTTATTTTGAGTCAAATAAGTCTTTATGACTAATGATTATTTTAGTCAAAATGCTATCTATTATTTGATACTACATTAACGTGGTATGCTGACATATCATAATTAATGATAATATTGTATGTTAATATATCATAATTGATGATGACATAACATACTTATTTAATATGATAATATGATCGTGTGATATTTTTCATCTTTCATATCAATATTATGTTAATATCATGTGGATATAAAATAATAAATAATATTTTATCTTATGATAATTAGTTTATCATTAATCATTTAAACTATTTAATTTAAAATAAAAATATATAGATTTAATCGAACGTAATAATAAGATAATGACTTATTTAAATTTTTTTAATAATTTAAGAATTTATTAAACTTTATGTCTTGATTTTACAGTTTTATCTTCACAATTTATCTTTCACTTCACAAAATTTCATTGATTTAATTTAAATAATATATTTATGAAAAAATTGTAAGATCAAATAACTCACTTAAAAAAAAAATACTTACTAATAGTAAATAATAAATAAGGGTAGGCCTTATCTTCTTGCCCAAAAAAATAGAAGGCCCGGGTGATCTGTCTTTTGACCCGAGAAGCATCCAAGCAAAAAATTTAAAAATTAAAAACGGAAATTGCGGTACCCATCTCTCGATATTTGGCGCCTTTTCTTTCATTTCATGGCCTCCCCATCGTCCCCCTCCAAAGAAGCAACAGGAGAAAGACACTTCACCAATCGCCACACACGGCCTTCGCCTCCGAAACGACGCCACTAGAACGTGAATTCTGAAAGGAGGCTAAAAAATGGTATTGCTCCACAACCAAAATCCGTCTCGGAAGAGGCCCTCCTCCTCTTTTGTCCCTCCTTTTCCTCCGGCCAAAATCCCCAAATCTCGAAACGACGGCGTTGCGGTTGATGCAGTTGAAAAGATGGTTTCAATCTTAGCTGAGGGTGGTTGTACTTTGATAAACCCCTTGGGCGCACCCTCCCTTCCCGCCGATCCCTACAAGCTCCGCCGCTACCTCTCCGGCCGTTTTTCTTCTTCTTCTGAGGATCGCTCCCTTTTCCTCTCTGGTTTCGCTTCTTATATTCAATCTCCCTCCAATCTTCGCAGGTCTGTTTACTCCTTTTCTATTTCGAAATATATATTTTTTCATTTCCCCAAAATTTTATGCACATTTTATCTTGTTTTTTGCTTTAAAATATTTGAACCTAGCCTTTTAACTTCTTCTACGAGAAATTTTGCATTTTGCTTTTGGAAACAAAAGATAAATATGTAAAAGTAACAACCAAACTGCACTAGTATTTTCTTTGTGCTGCTGAATAGACCTGAGTACATGGTAGAAGTTTTTTAGGCTAAGCAATTAATCTGTTCTTCTTTACGTTTTGTCATCGATAGACTGAGCTTCTACTGGAAGATGTTTTAAGGTTTTCACATGATTGACTCTGTTGGTATTGATGAGCAAATGTCTCATATTATTACCGGAAATTAAATGCTTTCAGGGTTCTTGTTTCATCGGATGGAAGTAGTTTTGCTCCCACCAGAAGTGAGAGTCTAGTCCGACATCTTTTGCTGGTTGCACCAATCCAACTAGACCTTCAGATTATGCTTCTTGAGAAACTTCCAGAATATTTTGACATTGTTTCTGGTGATTCACAAACATTATTGTCCCTTGAAGATGATGTTGCTAGGCTTATCATCAATCATCTTCGGTGGCTTGATTTTGTTGTTGATCCTAGTTCCTTTACCGATAAGTTAATGCAAGTCCTTTCCATTTGCCCTTTACACTTGAAAAAGGAGATAATTGGATCATTGCCGGAGATTGTTGGTGATCAAAATAACAAGACTGTGATTGATTCCCTTGAACAAATGCTTCATGAGGATCCATCCATAATTGTTCCTGTGCTTGACTCGTTTTCAAACTTCAATTTGGATGATCAGTTGCAAGAGCAGGTCTGTCCTTTTTTCTTTAATTTGTACTCTCTATGGTTTACATTGAATCCTTTGTTTGAATGTTGTTAACATTTCTAAGATGTAAAGGTATTTAATTGTAACAAACCAGCGAAATAGTTATAGCAAGCTTAATGCATTGACACTTTCTGCTCTTCAACATTCAAAATAATGATAAACCTGAAATAAAGTGCTTTTTCTTCTTTTCCTACAATAATACAGCTATTGAATGCAGTACAAATTAAACAGCGATTCAGGATCTCAGGTTCAAAACTATACCTGAAGTAGAAATACAGGATTGGGAGTTAGTATCAAAAGTTAGAATTCAGGTTTTTTTTTTTTTCAGTTGCAAATAGCTTAGAAATTTGGTTTGAGGCTGTTTGGTTGCCGAGAGTGAGGTCATTATGTGCTGCAAATTGTAGCTTTCATTGATTTAGCATTTAAGTTGAACTAAGGAAAATTATGACGAAGGCTGTTGGATTTGATAATTATGGTTTCTAAGGAGGAGGAGGAGGAGGAGGAGGAGGGATTAAAACATAGACAAATTGATCTTATGTTCTCAAAGCACTCAGAGCTAGGTGAAAAGGTGCCCAACTTCACAAGAATTCACTTCAGTATTTGACAAAGAAACCGTTTTATTATGTCTGCTGAGCAGCTGAAGTAAGAAGAGTAGATCAGAATATAAATAGATCGTTTTTGGGCCTCAAGAATATAAGACAAATGCAAAACGGGGTTGACCATGCATAAGGATCAAATAATATTGCTACACGGATGCAAGGCCCATGAAACACCAATACACTGATTTATAGGAAGGCTTGAATTATTCAGGAATATTGCTGACCCAATAAAATTGAGAAAACTCAAAAACTTAACCAGCCACACAATATTAAACATAGATCACCATAGGAGTCCCAAATTATAATTTGGGTATTGGAACCAGCTTTTGTTGCCTTTAATGCAGTGTTATTTGTCCTCCCAGTATTTTCGACAATTGTCTGTTGGCTTTCCTTTTTTTTGTATTTGTATTTATTGATTCCAACATCATTAGGGGCACGAGCACAACTGAATATTCTCTTAACAAATATATAATTTTTCTTTTGGAGCTGGCTTTTCCTTTCAAGACCAGAGAGATTTGACTATAGTCTTCTTCTTTTCATCATTCCATGATATTGTCAACAACCAGTCAAAATGTTAAGGTGCTATGCTGCTTTTTTATATTGATTTCTAATTTTTATTTTTTTCTTCACATTGAAGGTCATAACCATTGCACTATCATGCATTAGAACAATTGATGCAGAGCAAATGCCGTGGCTGCTTCGATTTTTACTGCTCTCTGCCACACAAGTAAATGTTCGCAGAATAATCTCACAAATACGTGAGCATTTAAAGTTTCTCAGGGTGCCAAATGCTCACACATTGCAAAAAAATAAACTCAAAGGGAAGTTGCTTGTTGACAACACAGAGGCATCTATTCTAGATGCCTTGAGATCTAGTCTTCAATTTAAGAGTGTAAGTCATTTATCCTCCTTATTTGACAATACATGTTCTAATTAATTCACTCTTCTATATCTACCACTATCAATAGATACTCTGTCAGGAGATTTTGAAGGAATTGAATGGCCTTGAGAAACCTCGAGATCACAAAATCATAGACATATGGTTGCTTGTGCTATTGTACACAAATGGTGAGTCCATGCGAAAAAGCGTTGAGAAGGTATTTAAGAAGAAAGTCATAGAAGGTTGCATTCAGGAAGTTATGCTTGATCAGTGCATTTATGGGAACAAGGAACTGGCAAAGGTATCTGTTGCTATTGTTTGCCATGAGGATCATTTCAACTTTGCTGAATATATTTCAGAAACTCATTTTGAGGGTTTCTTTTTTTTTTTTTTCTTTTAGGAATATTTCCTGTCCTTGCTTTCTTTATCTGAGTACCTATTGGCATGCAAAGAACAAAAGGCAAGGGATTTTGGCATTTACATGTATACTCTTCTTTTTGAAGAGTTTGCTGATACTTATTCAAGACAGGAAGTAAGCATCAATATTTATTCTCTATCTGATGACTAAGTGCATTTGCTCCATGATATTTTCATTTGGCTTTATGTAGGTTCTTGGTGCACTAGTCACTCATGTGGGCTCTGGTGTCAAGTCTGAAGTAAGTTCTGCTCTGCAGATTATGGCTTCACTGGCCACAAACCATGCACAGGAATTAATTCCACTTTCTTCTCATATAAATGGTACGTAAACTCTTGCATGCAGATTTTTCTTTCTAGTTTGTTGCTATTGTTCTGTTGGCCTGTTCAACGTACTTTTCAGGAATCTTGGACTACTTGGAGGGACTGACTGTTGAAAATCTTCATAAGGTTTATTGCTGCTCGTTATATTTCTGCTCTTCTAAGCTTTTCAAGACCAGAGTTGTATGTGAGTTTCACTAGCAGTCACACAATACAGGTTTACGAGGCCTTCAGCCATATGGCACTGCTAGCTCGCTCTAGTTCTGACTGTTTTGGCTCTTCCATTGCAAATGAACTCTTGATAATTGTTCGAAAGCAGGTATCTTGGGCTAACATGTCTCTTTGTAATAGACAGTGCTTGAAACATTGACTTTTGTGTGCTATTTTTAGATGGTATCTTTCGATTTTCTGTACTGTAGTCTTCATCGGAGGATCTTAGTAACAGGAAGTTGTTTTGACTAGCATCACCCTGCAATTGGGCAGGTCAGCCATCCAGATCTGAAGTACAAAAAGATGGGCCTCATTGGAATCTTGAAAATTGTTTCATGTCTTGGGGATGCAAGTAATGTCACATTATCATCACCTTTTCAGGTGGGACCTGTTATCATTGTAATTCACAATCTGTGACCCTCGGTGACTATATTGTTATTTTGTGGTTGATCTTACTTGGAAAGTTGCACTTTACTACTAGATTTAACTATGCATATACTGCGTGTGACATATGGGTGATCTTGATGGCAAATTGCTGTTGTTTCTGTCATTTTTATGTCTATTGGTGTAAATTAGATGAATTTATCATTAATTCCTGAAGACTCTGGAGAAGCAAAAAAAAAAAAGTCGGAAGCTGCTGAAAATTGTGAAAACTTCCATGTAATTTTTTTCTTTTAATTGTTTGTCATATGCTTGTAAGCGTTGATTGCGAACTTTTATCCTTTTTCAGCAAATGTCATCTTGTATAGGAAGGTTCTGATCATTCTCTTTCCCTGTTGAGTAGCTTAGTATGTTTGAATTTATTTATACTGTTCATTCACCACTGTGAGATCACTTATTTATTATTTTGAGAAAACAGAAATCAAATACTGAGGAGGCTTTGGAGCTCCTTGAAACATCCCTGGAATCTTGCAAACAGTTGTGCTTATCAGTGATCTTCTTTTACGATGAACTGACTGCAATTTTGGAAAGTAGAACTCTTCACCCTGTCATCATGGACTGGTGAGACAACTTCAGCAATCTGTTATTGCAGTTATTTAGCTTGTAATTTGTGAGCATTTAGGAAGGTAATAAAATTTACTTAAATATTGCATGTGACAAAGTTGCTTTTGTTTTGCAGGATTGGCAAGCATGTAGGAGAATTTGAATCTATTTTTCTGTCTGATCTTGATGGTGGGCAATTGCCTAGCAGGAATTCATATTGTGGTTTAGAAGGTAGGATTAAGAATACTGTCTGCTTTCCTGAAGTTGTAGGTAAAATTATGTCAGACTATAGATTATGCTTTCTACCTTCTACTTCTGTAGGGGAGCTATGGATGAACTTGGATGGTGAAATATCTCCTATTTGTCTGAACATTCTGCCATTAGCTTCTTCTTCGCAGTAATGTTCTGTTATGCTTTCCCTTGAATATAAATGTCTGTTTTCATCTTTCTCAGAGATAGTGTATAGTAAACTTTGAATCTTCACTTGCAGGTCTGCTTGTTTGCAATTTCTTCCTGCTAACTTTCATTTACTATCAGCCGTAAGTCCATGCTACTTTAGGCATCAGAAGTATTATAGAGGAAAGGATTTTATTAAATTCCTATTAATTGTCAGGTTGAAAGGTTGACAAATCAAGGATCTCTTGGTGGAATTGATGCATTACTGGGCTGTCCTTTGCTCCTTCCCTCGTCTAAGGTGAGATTAAGTGAAACAATCATGTTAAGATCATATTTTTCATACCATTATGTGTCAGAGTTTCATGATGCTTTTGCATTTAAAATGATTATTTCAGTGCAAATTTACACTTCACAGTTGGCCCTGTTTGCGTTCAGATCCTTTAACACTTTAAACTTCTTCAGACAGTTGTGATTTATTATTGAAGTTTGCCAAATATCGGAAAATTTAAAACTAATGCAAAGTGTTGTGATTTATTCATGAAGTTTTCCAAACGTTGTTTTTCTTGAGAGGACAATAGTTTTCTTCTCATTTCTCCGTTGCTTGCTATGCTTAGCATGTAAAACCAGCAAACATAATTATCACTTATCAGAACCAGAACAGAAAATGACCCATTCATGGCTTTGGATCATCAGGCCAATGGTTCAGTGGCCATTAGGTCATCTGTGTCAATGATGGGTTAATAAAAACACTTTTAGATGTTATATAATTTTACTCTAAAATCATAGATAATATATAAATAATACAAATATTTTGAATAGTTTTATGAACAACAATCTATGAATCTATGAGATAATTATAAAAATTCATTATAATTTAAAAAATTACAAAAAAAAAAAGAAGTTGAGAACAATCTATGAGAGAAGAATTATAAAAATTCATTATCATTTAAAAAATTACAAAAAAAAGTTAAGGTTACAAAAAATAGTTTCTACCTCTTAGTTTTTTATACTTTTAATGTTTGTTCAACTTTTTTTCTAAGAAAAACAATATTCGTATCAAATGACTAAACAATCGATAATTAATATGCAATGGTTTAGTTAGTTATCATTTAAAAATAAATTTGACAAATACATGTTCTACTCATTTGGGTCCATAAAAGCCTGGGGGGTCAATGTGGTTCGGTCAGTCTGACTACCAGGCTGGTGCGAATCTGATAACAGTGCCAGCAAAGCAAGATATAGTCATCACAACTGACAATGATGGGGGAAAGTGAAGGATTATATAAGTTGGGTGACTAGGGATCTTAATTGCTAACCTCTTAAATGTGGAAAAGTGACTCATTGCTCACCTGACCTTACTTTATTGCAGACTGACATTAGTGGCTTCTTTACTTGGTTACTGTTTGAAAGCTTATGCTTGCTCTCCTCTAAAATATAAAAATACTTATGTGGAGTAAAGTCTTCACTAGAAAAAAGTTTAATATCTATTAAAACAGATGAAGCTCAAATTTGTTGTGTAGCTTTAAATGTTGTCTAGGAGCAATGTCAAGCATGATTGGAGCTTGTGGTGTAAGAGAAGTTTTTATTAATGGGTAAAGATTGCCAAAAGGCTTTATCTAAGTGCAAAATGTTATGAGCTGTTATTCCTAATTTCTTAAACCTTTTTTGCTTGTCCCTTTCCTAATTATTTAGTTTGACCTTGAGGAGCACCCATTTTTCCTTTGGACTATATTATATTATGAGGTATTATCCTCCTGCACGTGTTTTCAGTCAAAAGTCAAATTTATCTTGTAACTTGATGGATAAGCTCATTTGCAACTATTTGCAATTTTTGATGCACTGAATCCCTGCTAACACAGACCATTTTACAGAGCACCTACTGTGATATAGGTCTTGAAGTATCTATGTTTCATATCTCTGCCCTTTTTTTTGAAAACAGAGGTTCTAATTTCCCAAAATTCTGGATTTATATTTAATTTAGCTATATTTTTTTCATGACATCCTGGAAAATTAAAAAGATAGGAGACAGGTCTAATACCCCTAAAGATTGTAGTTCTTATAAGCTAGCATACCTTAGCTTCCACAAAGTCTTTTCTTTCCTCCTTTTTTCATATATAGCCCCTCCATTTGCATCAAGAACTTGTTTTAATTATTTTTCCTCAATTGTTGAATACTTAAAAACATAAAAGTTAGGGACAATTAAGGTTGCTGATTGCATATGCCTTGCAACACTTAGTTAAATATATCAAAATATACAGAAATGCACTGAAAAGGTTTTCAATGAAAAAAAGAAGGTAAAACCTTGGAGTGTATTTTGTGCTATACATTACATACTGTTTTGTTTGATCTGTCTCAGCTTTCTATTTTGGTTTTATTGTCCATAATGTTTGATGGGACCACTTTGCTGACATGGATTTGGTTTCTGCAATTCCAGTACTACTCAGAAGCTGAATGGCTGTCTCTGACAGGAAAGCAGAAACAGATTATTTCTCTCTCTCTTTATTATGCAGTAAACTGGCTACGGGAACTGGTAAATAGTTTACTGTGAGATTTTGATTTAGCTGCATAATTGTCAATCATACAACTATGGTTTGTGAGTCTGCCACTGCTGCAGCTTAATGCCTTCTGCACACAAGTAGCTGGAAGATTTGAATTTACAAGTCAGTCGACAAAAGAGGACATAACGTTGAAGCTGTTAAAGCGATTGAGGAACCTAGTGTAAGTCCTCGCATCTTCAATCCTTGTAAGTTTGTCCATCATCCTTAAATCAGATTAAAATATTGGGGAGAAACTGAGACAATTATGCCTTCAAGATTCACTTTGAATGTGCATTTCACTTGGATAATTAAATTCCCATTGGAGGTAAGGTAGACATAGGAACTCATCAGGGAAAAAAGGAGACATGTTGGGCATGACTTGTAACATGGAATGTAGTAAGGAAGTTATGAGGCTTCTTTGAACAATGAGGAAGATTGACTGAAAAAAAACAAGGAAGATTGGCCAAAAAAAAAAAGAAGTTAGTTTCCCCAACTTAGCAACCCCCCTTCACAAGAGGAAAGGATGAGGTTGGGTTAAAGCAAGTTTTCAGCTGGGTGTTCTTCATTAGGCCTGCTTTCCTTTGCTTGAGTGCTAGAAAAAATGGTAAACTTTTAGTAGTGGTCTTTTCTCCTTATCCATAGACTTGGGGATGTAAGAACAATTATGAGGTGATGGAAAGCATGAAGTTTTGATTATTCACCCCATTAAAAGATGCAACTCAGAGTTTAGCTTGACATAGCGCCATTTATGGAAACGTAATTATGTTGAGGTTTCTGGTAGCCTCATTGATTGTTATGAATTTCAGCTTTGTTTGGTATATTTTTTGGAGTGTTACATATCATGAATTTGTAATCCTACATACTGATGGTAAGAATGTGTTGGTGCAGATTTCTGGAAAGCTTGTTAAATCATTCCATCAGAATGTGTCCTGTAGGACTACCTCAGCTCCATCTTCAAATAGAGCATTGTGGATTGACGCTCATAAACCAACCAAACCATGTGGGGAATATGGAAAAGAAGAATGAGCCTAAGATGACACATGAACGCTCATCCACAAACGAGAGGAAGCATAAAAAGATTGCCAAGACCTCAACGACAGGTACAGATGGAAAACTCCGCCAGCCAACATTGATGGACGTGTTGAGGAAAGCAGGAGTAGAGACAAGCCAAGAGATGACAAATGAAGTTTCTTCAAAGGAGAGGACCTCAGCATCAGTAGATCGGCAATCCCATGTCTTTAATGAATCTGTGCTTATAGAAGTTTCTCCAGTTGCACAAGGTCTAGAATCACAGAAATTTAGGTTCAGGCCTCTTTTATTGGAATGCTTCTCCATTTTGACCTTTTCAAAGGTATGCCTCCTCATGGTTTAACCCTCAACTAGATTGCATGGTTTCTTTCAAATTCTTTCAATTTTGTGTTTTAATGTGACATTTAAATGAGTTTATATATTCATTTGCTTTACATTGTTTACATGATCTTGCAACCTAGTAGAGATGAATTATTACATTTGAACTTCTCATGGCTTCATTTCCTGTCTATGCTTAAGTTGCATGTCCTCTTAAACTAATTTGATTGTTCCCTAACAATCAATAGAATTTCCTCTAAGACTCTTGTTTGGTATCCAAAAAATAACTTGTTGAGGGACAATTTTTTCTGTGCTAAACATTTTACTAGAAAATCTAATATTTTCTGTTGTTTGGATTGTCAAAAATATTTTTTGGTTTTTGGATCATCTTGTAGAAAATATTTTCCATCATGAGCCATCTTCAAAAAAGAAGTTAATAAGTCTACGCAATACAAATTTTACACCAAAGTCATTGTAAGAGATTGACAAGATGTAGTAGCTTTTTTATTATATAAGAACTACAAACATTAGAGAAAATTTTTCCTTTTAATTTTATAAGAAAATCCCTACAAATTAATGTTTGCTTCTTGCTTGTTGACCTAGAAGGTGCTGGGTTTGGACTTCTAAAATTTCTAAGTACAGTGTTACATGATAATGCGTATTTTTCTTGTTATGAGGTTTTATGTTATACTAATAACAAAAATGATTAAGAGTCATTGAATGTGTTTTTTCAAATGCAGAACCATGACTCCTGCTGCTCTGACCCTGTGGCTGAGGTACATTAATAATCCACATAGTTCTTTCTTTCCTTTTATTTATACATATTAAAATGATTTGGTGAGACGTGGAAAACTTGTTATTTCTGTACAGTTACCCCTATACCTGTACCTCATTCATGATCTTCACTGCAAGTTGGATTCCTTTGCTGCTCGGGGCAAACACTGCTCCTCAAGAAGCTTGAGTTCTGCTGCTTTTACCAGGATGACATTGGATGAATTTCTTAGCAAAATTAGACCACTCTTTCCAAGTCTTAAGAGAAATTTAGATATTGCATTCTGTAGTCTTAAAGAAGGTAACATGTTAGTTTCATTTTTTCACTAAGATCATGTTTCTATATTCTTGCAGTCTTAGAACAAATGTACTGTAGGTAATGAAACTTGTCAAGAACACTGGAACATTCAATCTGCTGCTGCTCACAGCCCAGATATAATCAACCTTGTCCCATCAAAATCTTCAATTTCTACTATGGTGTATAAGGAAGTACTTCATAGTTTCAGTAAGGTGAATACTCTTACTCTCACCTTTAATTCCGGGTGTATGCACATGTGTGTGCAGCACCTTCCTACTTGACAAGTGATACTTTTATGCAGGTTATCATTTGGGTAGAAAATTTCCTATTTGAACTAACTGTTATATTATACTTCCTAAGTACAGTTTTTCCTTGAGCAGATGCTAAACCTACCTGAAGTACAAAGGAATAAATCAGTTCTTTCAGATCTCCTTAAAGCCTTTCAGCCCAATGAAACATTTGATGCTGGTGCCTCAGATGTACAGCCTTGTCCTTCACCTGGTACAATCGAATATTCATATCTTGGGGCTTGTTCATTTGTGGAAAGTATCCTCCATGCAGGTGCATAAGTCTTGCCTTTATTGCCGCTGTTCTTCTATTTTTTTTAATTATCCTTTTATTTTATCTAAGTATCCTCCATGCAGCATGTTCTTTCTCCTTTATTCTGGCATCAGAGGCTCTTTTCACTCTGGAATCAGCTGTTACATCAGTTTCAAATGTCATTGATAAGTTGGAGGGAGATGATGTAAACATACAGTCAAGGTTTAGCCATATCCTTCCTTTCTTGCGTGGCAGACTTGGATCGTCTGCTCGGAAACTTTTAAAGCATAAGTGGGATGACGAAAATCTTGAGAATGGCTGGAAGAACAAAGTGAGATTAATTACATTATGTTTTGCATGTCTTAGATTTCTTCATTGCAGTTTCTTACCTTAGTGTACTGTGTAGTTATGCATATATATTAAAAACCTTGCTGGTGTTTTCAGGGAGAAATAGTACAAAAGATACTGCAGATCCACTTGGAATATACGGAATCAACTGCTGATTTGCTAGTTGATCTTGCGTGCACAATTTTGCCACAGGTATTTGAATTTGTTGAGTAACAATTGTTGCATAAGGTTCATAGTGTGCTGTAGAAGTTGACAAGTTGTCCTTTGTCATTGTGCTTATACACTGGAGATCTGGCAGTTTTTCCATGTAGCACCTCTGTCCAGTGCTTGAATTGCTCTTCCTTCTAGTAGAGACTTGAGAGCAGGTGATTTAGATATGATGGGGGACAAGATCATGCTTATTGTGGCTCTATTGGTGGTGTTGATACAAGTTTGGAAATATATTGTTGACATTGCTGTGCCGGAGTTTTCTTGGTCATTTCCTTTACTTCAACACTTTAAAACTTGTGCTTGCATTTTCACCACCGAGGGGGACAAATCTAGTCATGCTTATTGAAGGATCATATTATGTAGACATCTGTTTCGCTAATTTTATAGTATGTTTTTGTGGGTTCAATGGTAATTTTTAGTATTGAGAGAATTGTTAGAGTATTTAGGGTTGTATTATATTTGATTTTTATATTTAGGTTTAAGGTGTTGTCTATAAATGCTTATCTTACTTATAGATAATGCTAATGGGTTAGTGGTGTCACAAGTTGAAAGAAACTAACTCAGTTGGAAATATTACATAAAAGCCATTAAGTTATAAAAGGTGCATTTGAAAATAAGGATATATATCTACATCAACCTTCCCACAATGAGAATTTGGCTCCCTTACTTATTTTAGTTTCACATGTATTTGGAAAGAAACTATCCCATCTTTTGCCCACTTAACTTTTTTTATTCTCTTCCACTCACAAAGTGGGTGTTACAATTTGGATTATGGATTTTAGATCTGAGCATTCAAATTGGATTCTCTCTCCCTAGTTGTTTTCCTCTCTAGTTTGTTTCTGATTTCTATCCCTCATTTCTTCAATTTCCCCCCTATGCTCCTATGTTTTTTCCTCCTTTCTCCCTTTTTTCCATCCATCCTGTCTTTTTTTTTTTTTTTTTCCTGTTCTTTCCCTTGTTCTGCATCAATCAATCTATTTAAATCTTTTATTGGATACAATACATCTATTTAAGAATTGTTTTAAAACTAAGTACAAGTTAGAATGAGCAATTGAGTGTCACTTGCCATACAATTCTTTCAATTGAATCCATTTTCATTTGTACGTAGTAGCACTAAAAGAAGAATCCTTTCTCAGGTTTCTTGTACAACAACGGCAGAAGATGAGGATTATGGTTACCCAACTCTATGTTCTGCAACATTTCTCTCCTGGTACCATGTACTGGTAGGGAAACTTCTGTTTTCCAAGTTCTTTTCGGAGCATTGTTACTCTTAATGTTTTGCATTAATTATGTTGATTGAGGGTGCCCTTATGTGCAGTTTGAAGTGAACCTCACAGTTCTTGACCAATTGGTAAGTATTAACTTTTGCTGCTTATTTCCATTGATCATAGATGAGGTAGGACAATACTCAAAGGTGTTGCAATTCATCATTTCCTCTCTTTGTAGGTTAAGGAAGTTGTTCACTTGGAGAAGTGCCGACCTGGTTTTCAACCTGAAAATGTTCACACACATTTGATCAAGATGCAAAAGAACGTGAATGTGGTTGTTGCACTAGTTAACATGTGCAGAACCTATGACAAGGTAACCAAATAGAACTGTGGAGTTTCTTTGCCAAAAATTATTAGATAAATATATATTTATTATTTTTGCTGCCTCGAACCTACTCCACCACTAAGGTAAGTTGGTCAAGTACCTCCTTTTTTCTAGACATGGTTCGGTGGATTTAATACATTAGTGAAATTGTAGAGCCCTTTTGCTCTTTCATGACTACATTGTTATGTAAGGTATAAGTTCATCAGATTAGTTTGCAAGAATCTTTAAGCAGAATGATGGCTTCCCTTGATTTTTGGGATGTAATCATTCGTCTGAATAAAGGGTAGATGATAAAGTGAAGAAACTATAACACTTTGATATAACTTAGCTCCAAATGAGGCCTGTCCAGCCAGAGTAAGTTGGCTGTTGAATTATTCTAGTGCATTATAATGTGCTATTATGCCAATTACATTTCCTCATCTACTGCTAACAGCCTATACCCAGCCTACGGCTTGAGGTTTAGGAAAGTTGGAGACAACTAGGATTTCATTGAGAGTAAAAGCTAAATTTAACGCTTATCATAAATTGGAAGTAGGCACCTTTTGTCTATCACCTACATTTCTTGCTAGCATACCCAAGTAGTTAGTAGCACTTTTTTGTCCAATTGCTTTTCATGCAGCAATCTCATTGACATGTTAAGATGATGGCACAGGTCACCCTGCATGCCATGGCTGTCAAGTATGGTGGGAAATTCATCGATTCCTTCCTTAAAGGTATCTGTATCTTAGAATGCTATATGATCTTTCATTGTAGTCTGTTCGGAGCACCGACATGTCAATATTTTGCAGCTTTTGACTTCTTGCAGGTTCACTTCCAAATGCATAATGAAGTCATAATTCTACTGGTATGATAGGTGCAAGAACTTTATTCAGTCATGCTTAATCCAAGTTTGGAACTTGGAACTAAAGGGCTTATTGCTTGTTTATTACATCAGGTGAAAGAACTTCAAAAGGCTACAAGAACAATTCAGACCCTATGTTCTGAAGCAAAGGTGAGCCTTGCACACCCAATCCATTTGAGGTTTAGTCAGGATCTTTGCAATGATAGTGGATTATATTGAATTTATGTCTGTTTGCTATTTGAAGGGCTTGAAGCAAACAGCCATCACTGGCAAAATACCTGCTACCAAAAGATCTTTGGAACGCTTTTTGTTTCGTGTCAAGGCTCTTCTCCATACAACATCTAGTGGATGCACTTTCTGGATGGGTATGCAATAGTTAGGCTTCGCTTATATTTTCGCTCTTCTTTTTGATGAAAGGAAAAGGGGGATATATTCATTTAACCATAATGAAACTATTTTAAATTTTTTATTGTGATTCAGGTGTTTTAGAACCTTTTGTTTGGTTCCAATAAAGAATTAACCGTTGCTATACTCATTCAGGTTTAAAACTTCCATGTCAATAAAATTTTAACTGGTCTAGCTCCTGATTCCAAATTCAAGAAAGGGTTCACATGACCAAATTCTGGAAAATTCTTAATTTGTTACTTGAATATAGATGATAATTCGTTCATAATTTGAAAATAAATATGCTGACTTACTATAATATTTACTACAAAACCAGTGAGATTTTACCAAATTCTTTGCCGGTTGAGTTTGGTGAACTAGATTCCCCAAACTTGGGTCAAAATTTTGCCTGAATGAGTAAATGCATCTAGATTCAGTTTAACATGTGCATTAGCTTATAAAGACTTTTCTTCTATTCTTTAAATGTCTTATTTCTCCTTGTTGAAATCAAAATTGGCAATGATGCCAGAGGAACATATTGTTTTAATACTCATTGAAGATAGGATGACTTAATCCTGTTGAGATGGGATGAGTTATCCTCCTATTATAGGATGACTCAATCCTGTTAAATCCTCATTTAATAAGGTTTGTAAGTTGGATTATATTTACTATTTTTTCCCCAAAGTGTGTTTCATACATCATTACAAGGGAAAGCTAATTTTTACCAATGACAAATGGATCATCCTACTCTACACTCAATGTTACCCCAAGCATGGCATAGGATGAAAATTGTCCTATCTTACTCTTAATTTTGCTCACATCAAACATAGAATAGGATAAGATCTTTGATCCTATCCTCTCTCTCATCTTGTGTACCAAACACATCCTAAATGCCTGGTTTTCTCTCCAACTTCTAATATACCATCTATCTATTGTATTTACAGGTAATCTAAAACACAAGGATCTCAGAGGTCAGGTGGTCAGTTCCCAGGCATATGTAGATGATCGAAATGACAGCATTGATCAAGATCCTGAGGATGTGGATCCACCAGTCGTTGCCACTGCTAGTGGAAACAGTGAAACAGACTGAAGAGGTCTGCATATATTGAAAACTTCAGGCTTTTAAATGACGTGGATTTTGAGTTGTCCCATTGTCATGAACTTACTATGTGCTTGACTTCTGCAAGTCCATTACAAATTTGTAGCAGTTCTGTGTATCATGGCTGCATTTGCTTTCCATTGCCAACTTGCATAACAAAGAGTCAGTGGGAGATTGTTGAAAAAAAAGACTAGGTAACTTAATTTTTCTGACTAACAAGGTAAGGTGCAAGCATTTAAAACTAAATAATCCCATTTCAACTCGTAGTTGTATAGGATTACATGCTTGTGGTCCATTATTGGCTACATTAGCTATTTGTTGACAATGTGCTGTGCCAAAGGAAAACATGCATGCTGCTGTTGTTGCATATGAAGCATCCTCTAGAAATAAGAACAAAGGCAGAAGCAGGCATCAACAAAGGGCTATGCATTAGCGTCTTCACTGTCTGTCACTGGGCTCATTACTTGGAATGAACAAGGTGTGTGGGATCCCTATGAAATTTGAGGTTTGACAGGTTATAGCGATCTGTTTTTGTCTCAACCTTCTTCCAAAGGTAACATATTGGAAAATTTCCAGATGAACATAGAACCATGTTCATATGTTAATATGGACATGGTGTATTACTTGGATATGGCATTAAATTGGTAACAGTTTGCTCTATTTGAAGATCTCAGTGCTAGTTCAAGATTCTGTTTTGGCAGTATATACTACTATTTAACTATTCAGTCAAATGTCAATTTTTGCTATGTATTGATAAAATTTAATATGTCTTTAACACCTAAACTAATATCTTGAAGTAGTATATGTGATTTTGAATTGAACTAATCGATTGAATAGATAATGGGACTCTCATTGGTTGAATAGCTGATGTGGTTATTAAAACATTGGCTGCAGCTATGTAAACGAAAAGGAGTTTCTGGATAAGGTGACTGGTTTTAGCTTGTCTTCCTTTCTAAATGGTTTTCTTTTGTAACATGACAATTTTCTTGAACCAATAGTAATGCATTTAAGATAGCTTGTTGAGTTCCGCCACATTTGAGATACCCTTGTAGGAGCTTTTTCCTTGAAGAAGCTTCATTTTAGTTTCTCTTCTGCATTGAACTGTGCTTGATTTTCCATACCTTCTCTAACTGCCTGATATTATTTGTTTTGATTTTTGTTTAAGAGACTGAGACTATGGATCAAGCAGTGCAGGTCCTTTTTAAGCTGTATGACATGTGAAGATACACATTTGTGAATTAGTTGTTTGTGTGATATCTACGACAAACGAAAATTGTACAAAAAGGGAAATAGGGAAGCAGAGAGAGAGGAGACGTAAGGTTAGTATTTACATAAGTCAATGCTGCCATATTTATTATTTCTACTTCTGCAGTGCTTGTAATTTTGGCAGGTTAATTTGGTATTTGAATTCTTTTTTTTTTTCCTATTATCTTTATTCTTTTGTGGGTTTTCTTTTAGGATGTGTTCTAGTATTGGCCAGTTCTCTCATGGATTTATCTGAAGTAGAATTGTACATTATGAAGAGAATCTTAGAGAGGTCCAGAAAACAGACAACTAGCTAGCTAGAGTGATTGTTCAATTACCATTGCAAAAAAGAAAAAAAAAAAAAACCAGTGATTCTCTCCGTTCATAGATTCTCTGCTTTGTACTCTCTTTTGGGGTCTTTTCTCTGCTTGGATTTCACAAATGTAGTTGACGCCTTTCTGCTTTATGTATTTACTGCTTAATTGCTACTTAAGTCGTTGTTTTGGTATTAACATGAAGCACGTTTACAATCCTTTTAATATTATGGAGGAGAATGCAGATGTTTTCAAAATTCTTTTAATAATAATGTTTGTTTGTTTATTTATTTTATAAAGTTGGTGACAAATGTCAATCATTTTTTTATGTTGAATATAATTTTTATTAAAAAATTTGACTTCAAGCATCAATGGTTAAATTTGAATTTTAACTTGGATAGTATAAATTATTATGTTAATTTAGATGAAGTACATGCATGGATTCCAACAAAAACTATATAGTATTCATAACAAATTTAACTTATTTAATTAAATGATGTAACAAATTTTTTTTCGAGGAAATGGAAAGAATAGAATATAACATTTTGAAAATGAAAGTAAATATTATTATTGATTGCAGATGAAGGAACAATTCTTGATGCATGGTGTATTTCATTACCTATTCAATATTTCATTTATTGAAGTTGAAGGTTTTACACACATATCCACGTAGTATGGGTAAGTAACACAATTCTATGCTTTTATAACAAAAAATTCCTTAACTAAACACTGTAATGGGTATATCACTCACATTTACTTCCACATAAATGCTGTAATGAATAACCTCTTTAACTCAAATTATTTTTGTTCTCTTTTTCTAGGTGGAATTACTTTAGATGACGTTAGTGGACAGGTAACAGCAAGCTCTTAGATCCTGCAAACCCAAAAATTAAGATTAAAAATGCCAATTGCCTTCTCGTTTTAATTTGTTCCTAAGCTTTATTAAGTGTGAGACTAAGCTCTTCATTGGACCAGGCAACTCTCTTCTGGCAGAAGTAAATATTCTATGCATGCTCTCAAATGGGGATTGTCGAGTTTTGAAAAATGGTTATACTCGTTTCTCTCCTCAAATCTCTCTTTATATAGAAAGAATTTGGTAATTAATGTATTACATGTTGTTTAATTTGATCAAAATAGTATATTAAATGAATATTTTATTTGAATGCATTAAAAATTATAACATTAACGATCAATTATAATATTTAATGCAAAATATTACTATAAATAGTAGAATCCGATTAGGAGGAATCTATTTACAATAGTTTTTTTTTTCATCTAATGCATTAATTTTACCAAATTCAAAACTGATGCCATTAATAAAAATTTCCCTAAATAGAAAGCAGATACATTTCATGGCTAGTAAGTTTAATGGTTAATGACTTAATTAGCGGTTGAGTAGTTGACAACACAAACTAATAATGGATGTCTGTACTCTATTATTGAGAGAGATATCTCAAATCGAAATGTTCCGTGAAACTTAAGATGAAAAAAAAAAATCTTAGATTTCCTATTATCGTATTAAGTGTAAGTTGTTCTCATTTGAGCTCACAATTGGCTGATTGTATTTAGGTTGTGTTGTTTACTCATTTTGGTTCCCATCATAAAATTTTATTATTTAAGATTTAAATCGTTTCAATTTCATATAATTTTGGTTCAAGTTATTATTTTTTTAACATTAATTCAACAGAATCGAATTTAAATCTCTATAATAATTTAGATTATATATTTTTTTCTTTTTTTCATTTTTCTTTGAAGTTTTAAATAAAAAATATTAATATATATATTATTTTACTTAGTTTCCGTTTTAGGTCATATTAAATTTGGATTAACAATTAAATTTGTATCCATGAAGTCCAACTCAGATTGCATGCCTATTCTACAACCTCTCATTAAAACGTATTTTGATGAACTTTGTGATGTGCACAATGGTTTTAAGCTTGTTTATGAAATCCAAGTATATTATGTAAATATGTTATTACATTTTTAGTTTTGAGCATGGGAAACATGCCTTTCAAATGTTTGATATCTCAAAATTGATATTTGTTTCTGGTTTTCTTACCTTGGTGAGCTTAGAGTGCAAAAATCCACAAAACCTCAATGAATTGATTTTGGAGTTGGAAATCAACTAAAAACCCAAACCTTGAAATGAATAAAATCTAAAAATTAGAGAAATTATTTGGAAGTTGAAACCCATGAATAAAAGAGCTAGAATATGAAAATTATTACCTTGACTTAGCTTTAAAATTAGAAGTTTGAAGTTTAAGGTCTTGCTAACAGAAAAGAGAAAAGAAATGAAAAAAGAAAATAGGATATGGGAAGAAAAGAAGGAAAAAGAACTTTCTGACAGAAACTTAGGTGGTTGGCCTTCAAGAAAGAAAAAGAAAAAAATATAAGGCTTCTCTGGAAAACTTGATTTTTTTATCTTTGAAAAAGTCAAAGATGTTTTTGTTATTTAGGGGTAATTAACTACTTTTTATTATTTATGGGTAATTGACCAGTTACTCTTCAAAACCTATTTCACAAAATTTAAAATATTCTCCAAAAGCATAAACTTAAAATATTTAGTTACCAAATATTTAGTATTGCTCACCAAGGTAAGGTTGAGACTACCCCTTAGTCTACTATTATCTAATTTTCTACCCACGCAAGTATATATATTTAATTAATAATATAATGGCAAGTAGAGTGTCGATCTCAATTAATCTAAAATTTTACTAATTATTAAAATTAATATAATTTAATCTTATCCAAACAATCAAAATAGATAACCAATTAAATTAGAAATTCATTAACAAAAACTAATTAACAATAATTAAAAATCAAAGCAGGAATATATTGGATAAATGGCAAATCAAATAAGCCTAAGATTACATTATCCCTCACACTTCATTTAAATCTTACCTTTCTTCCTTAACTTATTCCAATGGATTAAATTATTAACCTAGAGTCTTTAATTATTTATAAAACCCTCTTGATACTCTTATAAAAATATCTTTTTTAATTAAAACACAATATCTCTATATGAATTTAAATTAAAACAGATTCATTAAGTTTAGGTTCTAATACTAACTATATATGGCACAGTTATATCTCTATCTTATATATAAATCAATTTCTTTATCCAAGCAAATAAATATGATCATATGTTATTCTAATTTTAGCCTACTCTAAACTTTCTTTCTTAAATTATATTTAGGTTTCTAAATCAATTTAATTGGTGGCGAAACAATTGAAAACATTAAGAAAAAATTGGAATAAACAATCTAATTCTATTGAAAATAAGCTAGAAAGAGATTAAAAATTTAAACTACATGTGAGTTCAATTGTAATCCTTGAGAAAAGCAATTAGCTATTCATAATTGCAACATAGATAAAAACATATGTAGTTTAGCCATCAAGTAACAAAAATAATAAACGCTAAGGAAGAAGAAAAACAAATGTTGACAGCCTTAATCTTCAATCTTCAACCTTTACTTCTAACTTCTTAAGTCTTTTAGGGTTTAGAATTTTCCTCTTGGTACTGCGACACTCACTTTGCTTCAAGTCGTCTTTTATTAACTACTACACACCATCAACTTCCAATGTAATTTTCTCCATCTTCAAGGTAGAACTAAGTAAAGTAAGCTCATAAAAGTCACAGCTCTGTCTCTTAGCTTTCCAATAGCTGAAAAACCACTTTATTTGGACACCTGGACTAAGAGTTATAATCAAAATACTTTAGCATGTACAAACAAGGCCTACAAAAACATAAAAACTAATAGTTGCTAACTAAACTAAAGCAAGTAAACATAAAAATAGCACAAAATAAAAATAACTCATTAAAATAAACTAATTAGAAAAACTACTAAAAAAATAACTAAATCCTAATCTAAACTCAAAAACTTAGTTATCTTTTAGTAACAAATATGAGACAAAACAATTCTATAAAATAGAATTATCATCCACATCACCATTCTTACATCAGGTTATGTATCTATAAATGTCGGGGTTTCACACACACACATATTTGATCACATCATATTAAGTATCTTAAATCTCTCAATAATCATACTTCAACATTTTTCACATTAAAACTTATATACACAATTATGTCATAGCCAAAAGTGACATAATAAGTCAACCTTCAATATAATACCAAATGTCATTTTCCCAGTAATGTCTCGTATAACTATAATATCCATAGTCTTAGGTAACATACCAATGTAGCAGACATCCATTCCTTACTTTATGACATATAATCAAACGTCACAAAAGGCACATTACAAGTTTTATTAACCTCCTTAGGACTCACACAATGAAAAAGTAAGGATCAATTCTTTTACCTTGTATATTGGTTGTAAAGCACATATTTTCTTCATTAAAATGCATTGAATTCCATCATTACACTTGCTCACATTCATTAAGGAAGTAATTTGACAACTAACTCTAGATTAACAATTTATTAGAGTCTAATTAGAGCTGTCCAAAGGTCAGATCGCCAACTTAAGTCCTTTGACTTGGTTGGACAGAATAAAGACACAAATCCTTATATGTCAACAAATGAGGATTTTTATAATTTCTTTTTATTTTTAATATTTTATTTGTAAATACAACATATAAAGAATAAACACAATAACTCTTTTTAGAAAATTCTCCATTTCTTCCTTAAAATGCATTAAATTCTGTCATTACACTTGCATCACATTCATTAAGGAAAAAATTGGACAACTAATTCTAGATTAAAAATTCATTAGATTTTAATTAGAGGTGTCCAAAAGTCAGAACGCCAATTTAAGCCTTTTGACTTGGTCCAATAGAATTAAGAGACAAAACAATTAGGTTTGGGTATTATTACCTTATTATACTTATCAAATTAAAAAAAAAATCCTTTTAAATAATTGTTTAAAATTATTTAAATAAAAGTAAAATAGTATTTTATAACTAATATTAATGGGTAGATAAACGTATCACTTATACATGTTTAAATATTATAACATAATTAGCTAAACGTGTCCTAAATGTATTAATTATGTAGATACTGTTAAGACACAAAATAAAATAAGAATAAATTCAAACTTATTCTAGTAAAATCAATAATAAACCGCATGCTATAAACAAGTCTTTTCAAAACCTAAAGATACTCGCGTAGAAGGCTAGGGCATGTCCCTAATCAGCAAACGTTGGAAGAAAAAGACAAATTGAGTCTGAGACATGAAAGCGGCAGTGCAAAATAACGTACGGCAATCCCGCTTTGCCATTGCTCTGAACACTCTCCTTTTACAACTCAAACTCTTAAAAAGCAGTATCAGAGTCATAAGAGAAATATATCACCAAGAGATTTCAATGCCAGTATTTCTTTCTGTCAAGTCTCTCTCTCTTTCTGTCTCTCTCCCTCTCTGAAGAAATGGCCAACGTCCCAGAAGAATCCCCATTGGGAGACCCATCAGCTAGAGGAGCGGGTTCGAGTGCGGCGGCTCCAACCA